TGGTAAGTGCCTGCTGGTCCTAGGCAAGCCTTCTAGGAGCCATTGCCTTATAGTTCCTGCCTGGGTGCCCCCTTGTTTGAGGGCTGAAATTGCCCTTTGGCCAGGTGCATTTAAGACCTTTCTCCCCATTTTAAGGGGGTAAAAGAATTTAGGGTTTTTGTTTTTGGTTTTTTGGGGGGGGAATTCTAAGCCTGCAAAACTCTTTTTAGGGTTCTCCACATAGTTATTGGTTGTTGGGTTCGGGTGCATTCCTGGGGACAGGAATTGGTTCGGATCTGCTGAACTGTGGATTGGTGGAACATCCTTGTTGTTAGGATCGCTGTCCGTACGATCCTATATCAAGGGAGCTCGATCCTTGTCATATGGAACCTCGATTCCATGATGTAGGAATCGCAACAGTGATATATAAGGGATCACGAATTATATTTAGATTCACATGACCATTGGGCATAAACCTAAATCAGTGCATATGAATCAATGTCAAGTAGAGAAAACATCATGTACACTGCATCTTACACTAGAGAACCACAGTTCTAACTCACTAGAAACGAGGATCACAATATAGGGATCCATGTTCCATCCAAGATCCCTTGCTGGAATCTTGCGATCGAGGTTTCGGACTAGGTCTGTGACCTTGCCTACAAGTTTCTGGCAATTATGGTTCTCCAAACCAAAAAAAAAAAATCTTTGGACTTCTCAATTTCTGTTGAGATCAAAAAAGTTCAAGAAGTTTGAGAAATCACCATACACCTTTCTTAATTGGATTCATTGTGCACTATCAAGAGTGGCTATAAAGAGGATATTTTGGGTCATTTAAACTTGATATTCATACAAACATTGATATGGAGATATGAGCTAGCGTATTTAGCCATATGTTAATGATACTTCAATTTTGGGGTGGGCAACACGAATCCTGTTCCGCCATTGCACTCTATCAAGTGCCATACCCTTAGTCAGCCCATTTTCTCACTACTTCCATCCATGTCCTTTGGAGCCTTCCCCATGGTCTCTTAGAGCATTCCACTTGAACCAAAATATTGTTCCTAACCGGTGTTACTCTAGGTCAACCATGTATGTGACTAGACTACCTAAGTTTACTTTCTCTCATTTTATTGCCTATTGGAGCTACCCCAAATTGCTCTCTATTCTATTCTTGTCTTGCCACTCATCCGAATTATATTGTATATAGTATCTTTATTTTGAATTATAATTCACACACGCACAAAATTTTTATAAAGTAGCAGCCTTAAACAATCAGATTAAGGTGTACCAACAAACTTTGACAAAAATGTAGTTTTCATGATTGAAATTTTTAAGATGGTTTGAAAATCTATTTCCAACCCCAATTATGAAATTTAAAGCTCGAAAGTGTATTGAGTAGATCTAGAAACACTTGACACACTTGATAACAGATGGGCCGGATATTATGTCACAAGGTGCCCCATTTTTTATCACTTGAAATCTTTTTTTTTTATTTATAATCATACAAATCCAGGTCAAGATGATCAATTGGAATGTTTTCTAGCATTGGAACAACATTTTCTGATGAACTTTTGAGGTGTGCCCTTACTTATACTGTATAAGATTGATGCTATATATAATGAAACAATCTTAAAAAACCATGCTAGGCCTATTTGTTTGACCCTAATTTTTAAATATATACTTTTTCTTTTTGCTGAACAATCACAAAAAAAAGAAGAGAAAAGACAATGTACCCTAAAGGACCCGAAATTTTGCATAGGCACTCTCTTCATCCCAACAACTACTTCCAAAAAAAATAAAATAAATAAATTCAATTTGCACCTTATATATGGTTGAAATGACCCCCCCCCTCCAATAATGAAACTTGACCGTTCATTTGGTGAATTTTAAGATCTAGGCCATTAGTAACTCAAAATCAATTTTTTCTTTTAACATTGCTAACCAAAACAAATCCATGTAGAAAATTTGGAAAAGGAAGAAAGTCTTTCTAAGGCCTAGATCTAAGCATCGTAATTGAAATGGACGGTCTTTATTAATTGGGCTAAGAAATACTTTCTGGGGGGTATTTTTAAATTTTTCTTTTTTGTGATTGTTCTTTAAAATGTAAAGGGTGTATGTTTAAAAATTGGGGTCAAACAAATGTCTCTGACATGGTTTTTGAAGATTGTTTCACTATGAGTGAAATTTTGCAGTAATTTCGCTCATGGGTCTAAAGATGATCAAACATTCAATAAAAAATGGAACTGTTGAGTGTGTAGTAATATTTTAATTTTATTTTTATATAAATGGGCTCGACATGAAATTTGGGGTTACGTGTACATCATAACACCTCACACCTAATAAAAAATATTACACAGTTCAGAATGACAAAACTACCCCTGGATGTTACAGGGGCAGTTTGGTCATTTTTAATCATATGAAATATTTTTTAAAATTTTATTGGGTGCGCGAGTTAGAGGCGCAACTACCCTCCAAATTTCAGATAAAACAAATTTTTAGAAAAAAATAGTAATTCATAGACTGAAATACACTCAACCATCCAATCAAAATCTGACGCTTGTTCGCCTTTTGGCTCATGGGTGATACTACTGTAGCATTCGTTCATGGGCAATTTATAGGATTTTCCATATCTATGCACACCAAAAACACACTCAAATGAGAGAGAGAGAGAGGATACATGTATCTGCGTATATGCATACATATGCATAAATGATACACATATATTCATTTGGAGCCCACATTCATGTATATATGCCTGACTAGGTCCTAGGGGGCGAGAACCAACCCCCCATCCTGGCCCACCCTGGGGGGGGGGAGGCGGGGGCTCCATATCTTTCTGTGGCAATATTATGTATGCATGATCATTTTTTTCCTAGCTTGATAATAGATGATAAAGTTTGTGGGTATTTGCATATTTTGACTTGGATGGCCTGTCTTTTAGTTGTTGTTACTTTGGGGTTGGGTGGGGGTGAGGGGGACGCTTCCTTTATCAAATCATCCTTTATGATTAATGACCTGACTATGGAGCTACTTCCTACATTATCTCTTCTCATCACCTAATATATTGAACTGATCCTTTGTTTTTTTTTTTGTTATTGTTTTTTGTTTTTGTTGTTTTGTTTTTGTTTTTTTCCATTTTACCATGTTTTCAAATGCATGATGGAGTCATGGTTTTACAGCGTTCCTAATTTCCTACATTTCCTAGAGACATAACTGATAGATATCTCGATAAAAAATGTAGAGATACTGCATGTGATCTGCCAAAAGCATGGAAATTATAAAAATCATGGAAAAAAGTGAGTTCTCAGGGACGATAGGCTTACATCAAGGGTCAGAGTTGAGCCTATATCTCTTTTGTTTTGGTTATGGACGAGTTAACCAAGCACCTACAAGATGAGGTGTCGTGGTAGATGTTGTTCACAGTTGACGGAGTCTTGATTGATGAGACTAGAGGCAACATCAACGCAAAGTTAGAATGTTAGATGGATGCTCTAGAATCTAAATTTTTTAAAATTAGCCGAACTAAGATAGAATATATGATCTGCGAGTTTAGTAATAACTGTAGTAGAAACGAGGAAGTAGTTAAGATTCATTGTCAAGAAATACCTAAAAGAGACTGTTTCTATTATCTAGGGTCGATAATCCAAGAGAATGGAGATATTGAAGAAGATGTTGCAGATAGAATTAGAGTTGAATGGGCGAAGTGGAGATGTGCATTCAAAGTTTTATGTAATAGCTACATATCATTGAGACTGAAGGGGAAGTTCTATAGGACGGTATAAGACCAGCCATGTTTTATAAAAAGGAATGTTGGGCAGTCAAGAAACAACATATCCATAAAATGAGTATAGCTGACATGGATGAGTGACAAGACAAGGAATGATAGAATTTAGAATGAATACATACGAGGGAAGTTAGGTGTGGCTTCAATAGATGATAAGATGAGGAAAACTAGACTTAGGTGGGCTGGCCATGTGTAGTGTAGACCTAATACAACATCGGTTTTAGGAGGTGTGATTTGGTTCAAGTGGAAGGCTCTAAAAGGGCATGGAGAGGGTCCAAAAGGATATTGATAGAAGTAGTGAGAAAAGATATGGTGACCTTTGGTCTTACTGATAGAGAATAATGGAGGAACATGATTCATGTAGCTTACCCTAAATAATTGGGATAAGGCTTGGATGATAATGATGATGAATTGATGATGATGAAAAAAGCATTGCTTTTCTCAGTTTTGATATTTCTTTGTATTTAATATGATTTCGTTTGGGTCTTGTAATTGCATGAGAATGGGTAGACATGGTTCGTATGCAAGTCTTTAGTTGTTTTTATTTTGCAAGTATTCTTAGGTATTTTGTTCCAATGCCTGTTTAAAGGATGTGAATATAATTTTTTCATACTTCTCCTTAAATCTTTATCTGCATATTGGTTTACATGTTTAGGAGTAATTTTGTCATAACCTTTCTACCGCCATCTTCATACTGTTCCAGTTAACGCATCATAATCGTACTGGAATCTACACATAAAATCTGTAATGATGTTAGTTCTAGTATTTTGAACACATGCAAGATTACTTGTGTTCTCTAAGTCCATGCTGCATTCACCATCTCATTTTCTATCTGTGACATCCCATTCAGCCTAGCACACACTTCTTGATTATTTCTGGGGCTTCTAATAAAGTGATTTGTTGTTCTAATGAAACAAAGTATTGTTCTTGGAAAAAGCAATCTGACCATGAGTTCCATACAGATTTGACATTAGCAAGTTGGGCTTGGGCAATTACAGACCAGATAAATATGAAAAATGCATTTTTTATCCAGTATGTATGTTTGCAATTGAGAATTTATATGGGAATAAATTGCCACAAAATAATTGCTGAAGTGGGGATATAGGTTGTTTTCTCGTCCCACTGTGAAAATGACATTATGGGCTGATTGATTTGTGAGTTTTAATGTAGTTATTTAAAGGCTGTACCATTTTTGTATGTTTTCACTGTTGGACTACTGTTTCCTTGTGAACAGAGGAGAAGCGATGACCTTGCCCCATCATCTGGGGAGCAAGTTGAGGCCAATAACTTAGGAGGCAGTGCTGTTTCAGGATCTAAAGGAAGTAATTCTTGTGCAAATCAGTTCACAGCAACTGCCACCACCGATGCCCATATTGACGACTATGATACTTCCATAGCAACCTTTAATATTGTATGTTTTTGTCTTTTACCTGACATGCTCATCATGTTCTTTAGATTTTAGACAAGTGACAAGTTGCAAAGACAATAGTTCTGCAAGTGTTTATGATATTGTTAGAGATTTGGTTTTTATATATCCACTGTATTTATGAAATGCAGGCAGTTATTTTCTACCATCTTAAAGATTATCCGACTGCCCTATCAGTTCTGGAGCCATTGTATCAAAACATAGAGCCCATTGATGAGGTATGACTTGTCTTGCTATACAGATCTTGAGTATGCAAATTGCATTACATCTATTTTGTTTTTCCTGTTTTCCTTTATTGTCTATGTCATGTTGACCTGTTTCAATTTCCTCAATACCATTGTTAGAAAAACCGGGTGATCTAACCGCCCGATTAGATCGGAACCGGGCCGGTTCCAGTTTTGGGTGGTTTTGGTGATCGACCGGTAAAAAAAAAAAAATCAAAAAAATGTATATAAATTCCTAAAACTAAGGTTCGTAATGCATTTTTTAATATTCTTTACATTATGGTAAAGATTAAAATTTGTTTTTGTCATTAATACTCACTTTAATTCAAAAATCGATTCGTTAAAATCTATTTTTTAATTAGTTTTTAACTTCATTTGAATGTATTTTGTTTTAATTATTTTGTATATATTTTTCGTATTTTAGTAGATTTTTTTTATGCATATTTTTTATTTTTTCAAAACTTTTATGACCGTCCCGGACTTGCCCGGTTAAAACAGTTGAATCGGCCTGTTTACCGGTTAGGCCGGTTAAACCGCTTCCGAGCCCATGTCCGGTTAACTTTTCTGGTTCGATTTTGCAAACACTGCTCAGTACTTTACTTTTGTATGTGTGCAGCCTACTGCTCTGCATATATGCCTTCTCTTGTTGGATGTTGCCTTAGCTTCCCAAGATGCATCAAAAGCTGCGGTAAGTTAAACTTGTAAAGCTGTACATGTTTCATGTCTTTGTTTCCAAGTTTATTTGCCTTGTATTTATATTTTCTGCTTAATTGATGTCTCATAGTGATTATAAGTTATAGGGGAAAAATGTTAACATAGGGGAAAAATGCTTGAAGGCTTGGAATGAATTGAGCTGCCTTTTTTTAAGTTAGTGACAATATATGAATACTACTGTCAGAATTGCCAATATTTGGAGTTGTCTGAACCCGTAAATTGAGCAGTACTTATTTTTTCACTGATTAAAAGAAATGGTTGGCTGTTAGGAGCAACTCATAATTCTGCTTGTTGAATTTTCTGTCATCCTTGAAAATCATTCACCACCTTTTTTTTTATCTGACAAATTGAAGTTAGAGAGAACGTAATTCTCTATCGCCACTTTTGGCAGCTCTTTTGTTACCTAGTTTTTTTTGCATAGTTTCTGTCATTTACAAATCTTTAGAAACAGTATACATGTTGCAAGATTACTCTGCCTTCAATCAAAACATTGACATACCTTGCTTTCTGAAGTATTCGGGCTGAGTAACTACCATGTGTTTGTTCATGTCGGGCACCCATAACTTCTTATTGAATGCATAGTAGCTTAATACTTTTTTGTTAAGTCTTCTTGCCGTCTTATACATGAGCTCTCTTCAGTCTTTCTAAGTTGTGTATGATGGCAATTGTAAGTGTTAGAGTATTGCATCCTGTATACCAACATAGAATGTGATCGTAGCTAACCACATTCTTTAATTTATTAGCTTTTGAAGGATGTTCAGCTCTTTTTCTCATAATGAGCCATTTGATGAATGTGTGACTGGATAATATCTTTCAACTTTGTTCTTTCCAGATCAGTATCCAGAAATAATTGTGGGCTGTTGGCTTGTGGTGTAAACTCAACCTGTTGGTTAACACGAATTATTTATACCGTACATCTTGATCCACAATTCCGCATACATCATCTGATTTGAATTTCTATGACAACGTTGTGTTTGAATCTATACAGTCCTTTGGTGTCCTTGCTTTTTGACATTGTTCCTTACCAACTAAGTTCAATTTATCATAGAAAACAAATTCTGGATTAATTTTATGGCATTTTATGATTGCTACAAGAAAATGAGAGCAAGTGCTCCATGTGGTAGAAATCGGTGCATAAGTCATTTGTTCTCTTTCTTTATTTTATTTTTTAAGATAATCTAAACAATCTCATCAGTCTCTACAATCCTGGGCTTCGGATGCATTCACTTATACTTTTATTGTTCAAAGCTTTGGCTAGCAATAAAAGTTTAAAATTTTATGAAAGAGCAAATAACAGTTTGCTATTAAAGGTAAATTCAGAGTATTAAAATAGAACTGAGCTTATAAAAGACCTGCTTGAGATGAATAAAATAATTTTCAAAGGGAAATCTCTAGATATTGCATTGAGCACCTGGATCCAAGGTTTAATTATCTCTAGGGCTCTGGTTTGGAAGTTTTTCTGTTATTCTGCCTTTGACACAGTGTGGGAGTGGTTGGTTGTGGCCAGTAGTGCGGCAAGAAAGTGCACATTCATGCTGTCTTGTCTAATCAACTGGAAGGAAGCCCCAAGCTAAATTTTTATGGGAGGTTTTTGGGCAACACTTGGCCCTTTGGTGTGGGGGTTGGAGTTAGCGACCACTTGTGCAACAATCATTTTGTATCTGCTTGTTTGGCGGGGTCAAGGGCACCAATTGTACAGAAGGCAAAAACACTTCTTACCGGCCCAAGTTATTCTTTCATAAATACAGGGACCTGTTCATTGCTGAAAGGGATCCCTTGAATTTCATTAGATGCTCCCATGGAGATAAGCCTTTCCTGTGGAGGTTGGCTGATGTTACAGACAATGTCATTGATCTATTGCAGAGTGAATGGATTACATTTCAACATAGCAAATGAGTTGGCTGGTTCACTTGCATCTGATAGAAATTGTAGGCTTAGCTTTCGATCCTCTCTTCTACGACTCCCTATTGCAGTCCTTCTTAAACCCACCGAGCTCATCAACATTTGTCTGTTTCACTTGGAACATTTAGATGTAATTAGCTCCCTACCCTTTGAATATTATCTTTCGAAGAAATAAAGCGAGCAAACTAATTCTTTAAATTCCATGAACTGAAGTTCGCTGTTTTCGTTCCTTGCAGTTGATTGTATCTGCAAGTATCAATGCTATTCACTTATCCGTTTATTGTTTGAATGTTAGTGCTATCCACATCACTCTTACCCTATCTGAGGACATGGCATGTATCTGCAACCCTTGTTTTAAGATGCGGCCGCATAATGCTCTGTGCACCCCAAAACGCATCGTCTAGGGTGGGATGCGACCACAAATGCACGGCATCTACCACATATGCGGCCGCATAGTGCATAACGCATATGCACTGCATAGCTTGTATGAGAAAATAGTGCCCACGAGCATTGGTTTTTTTATCATTTTCCTCCCGGAAAAAGGGGGAGGGGGAGGGTTTTGAGGAGTATTAAACCCCCCTCAAACACAAAAAACAGCCACATACGTGGATGTTTTTGGACCAAATGAAGAGAAAAAAGAATTATGCAGAATTGTTTTTCCAAAAAATGGTTGATTTGCTCGGTGTTGGCTGGGTTATCAATTGGGATTAGCTTGGGTGTTGTTTTAAAGATTTTTTTTTTTCTTTTTTTTTTTGAAATTGATGTTGTTTTGAAGAAGTTTGAGCATTATATTTGCCAACATATGAGGGTTTCAATGGCCGAGTTTGCAATTGCAAATATGGCTTTGTGATGTTTATGAATTATGATAATATGATGTCTTCTATGAAGTTGCTTTCAAGTTTATAGTTTCTACTCTCTAATTTCCTCTAACAGGGGATTCCGAGTCTCTGAGCAGCTGATAATATTGGAGTTAATTAATAAATTAAATCACCTCCATATTTTCTTCATGCACCTATTTTTTGAGATTTTTTGGAATTTTTTTAATTATTGACCGATCAGGGTGATGCACCCGCATCTGGATTGCATTGGCCCGCATCGCTACTCTGGCTGCATTGGGACCGCATCCCGCATTTTAAAACAGTGTCTACAGCCATAATTGCCTATTGGAAGTATAAAAATCTTGAAAGAAGCCTTTGTTACTAGCAAATTCCTTGAGAGTATGTGTGAGAGTTCAGATGGGCATATGGATGTGCTGATCCCTGAACTCCAACCTGGATATGAGCCTTATTTGGTGTAGTTCTTCTCGTCCTATCCTGTATACCAGCATATCACTGGGTGATGGAATTACTCAACTCCACTAAAATGCCCTTTAAACTTGGTAGCGTGGGTCACCCTTGTCACGTCAATGTTGAGCTTCATCTTCCTTTCAATGTTGGTGACTTTTAAAAGTGACGAACTGCAGTCCAGTGAGTTCCCAAGTTGCCTGCATGGACCCCTTCAGATTGAATATGTTGAGGATCCCACATCCCTATCACTGCATAGACCTTGATGCATTCAGATTTCTGTGATACATCTGGGGAGGTAAAGCTTACGCATAGTTGCCAGTAATTCCATAATCTTACTTTAGTCATTTGTAACTTAGATTGCTAAGGCTACACCACATCTGAAGGTTGTCCGTGTATTGTCTAATCTCCCTAACCGTACTTCTCTGGCTGAAAACCGTATTTTCATTGTCGGAGGAAACTGAGAGGGAAGGGGAAGTTCGAGAAGGGTCCTTGTGGGCTCGCTGTGTGAAAGAAATATCCAAAGTTCCCCTCTGACAGGGAGACAAGCAAGGGAATGGAGAGTGAGTGGGAAAGACTTGGTGGTAATTACATCAAAAGGAAGACAGGATGTTGGTCAAGTAGGGTTCTGTGAAGCTCGAATCCATGTAAACACTCAGTAATATTGATATCTTGTTTGGTAAGTTTTGGATACCTGGGGCGAACTTCCCTTGAAATAATTAATGTATGTGAGAATGTATATTATTGCTTAGATTTTTCCCAAAAGGGTTGACCAGGCAAAAGAAAGGCACTCATTGCATCTAGGGATTCTTTTTCTGTTGTGAGGTTGTATCGATCTTTGAGTGATCTTTGAGTGATTGTAGGGTTTTGAAGGCATGTGGGTAGAATCAATCTTTGACCTTGCTGTTCTATTGGGTCTCTTTCTCTCTCTCTCTCT